TGTGTATCTCAAAGGTACTGCAGCATATGAGAGTCCTCCAGTCTGAATTAGATCGTGAGAGGCAACAAAAGTTACAGAAAGAACAAGGTAAATTTAACAATTCTGTTTCATTTTGTGATGTGGGGTTTCTTTGGGGAATGACACAACTCATTTACACAGGATTGATTTTTAACTCAAATGTGGCTTATTACAAGTGAAGAAAACATTTTCTCACAAAAATGAGTTAACACCAAGCTCTTAGGTATATATTTGTTTTCTGTGTTATAGATCGTTATTTCCTATTAATTATGACTTATGCAACATTCTTATTTTCTAATACACTTATATCTATACTCTAAACTAGATCTATCTTCCTCACTTTCCTTGACAAATTAACTCGACTTGCTTGTTAAATCTGGATGTGTGTGGGGGTTTTGGCATGGGGAGGGGGCTTTCGGTGCCAGATAGGAGAGATGGGATGCCTTTCCAAAGGTTAGGAAAGTAACACAGGCATTTTCCCCACTGCACCATATTTTCTTCCTCTACAAACTAATTAATATATGCAGTTTAAACAACTTATTCAACTTATGCATTGATTGCATTTGAGAAGTGGAGATTTTCTACCACTATATAGAATGGAGATTGTCCAGGACCAATGCCTGGTTTGAGAGAATAGTTTCCTTCTCATCCCATACTTAACAATTTTATCAAGTGTTCCCGTGTGGAGCGTTGTAGTTCACCCTGTGATGATTCATCTCAAAACCAGTATCAGAGATCAGTTCCTTAGCGCTGTATAAATGACATGATGTAACTGAAGCAAATGTCTAAAGAATGTGATATACATTTCTTCTTTTTGTGTTGCTTTCCAGTTCCTTCAGTATTGCAGCTTTAATTTAGGCCCTTATTATGTAATCAGTGAGGAGAACATAGATTGGGAGGTCAGGTTATGTTATCCTCAAGGTCATTCTGCCTTTTTAGTTGGACTAATTGGTAGAAAAAGGAGTAGACAGGATAGGCAGTAGGTATACGCTCAAATCCAGGGTGGCTGCTACTACATATCAAGTATTAGAATAGAATTCTTTATTGGCCAAGTGTGATTGGACATACAAGGAATTTGTCTTGGTGCAAATGCTCTCAGTGTACATAAAAGATATTAGATTCAGTTGTTGACAGGTACATAACTTTTTTTTTTCAAGCTGATACAGACAGACACATGTACACACACACAAAGTTAAGGTTGTGGATATAGTTTGTTTTGTAGAATAGAAAGGTCATTTGCTGTCTGTAAGATACAGTACTTTTTTCCTCCAAACTGAGGGAAAACCTGTAGTATCTCAGTTCGGCTGAAAAATATTTGACTTTGTCAAGATATTAGTATCTTTCAATTGTAAATCCCTTTTGATCTAAACATTTTATGAGTGGGAAGAATCTCGGTCTGCCCCAAACAGGAGATTTTTCATCATGTGTAATCAGAACGTTATTGGCAGCATATTTTTATTTTTGTGCCAGCTTCCATCCCTCTCTCCCTTCCTCTCTCTCTCTCTCCCTCAGGCCAACAGCCCTTCAGTAAGATATTGACTATTTCACCTAGTCAGGGCAGAGAGGGCGCTGGAATGACTTTCACTTGCACCATCCAGGTCATTCTCATGCTTAAGAATAAAATCTGTTCTCAAGATCTTGAATAAAATTAATTTTCTTACACAATCCCTCACTTCCTCCCACTTCTTTAGTAGGTAATGATTAGTCACAAGAGAGATTAACACTCAAGCAATTTTTAAACAATTCAAGCTGAGATTAAAGCACCCGCCTTCTGTTTGTTCCAAAGCAAAATTTGGTAAATGGCTTTTTTTAAAAAAAAGGAAAGAAAGAAAGAACTACTTTGGGTTATTAGTGCTATTTTTAATAGGCTTTTCTGTCAAATTGGCAACCTTTTACTTCTTAGCTTTTGTGGGGCGGGGAATGCACCTGAATCTCCTCTTGATTGTGCTGGGTACAATAATCCTGCCTCCCCCATTATTATTAAGTCATTCCTAAATAGGGAACTTCCATGTATTTAATGTACAGAAATGGAATTCCTTGACATAATAAATAGTACCAACTCTGTGCCTAACCATCAATACAGATAAAGGACTATTTCAAATGGCTCATGTTATTGCCTTATACGTCCTTTCTATTCCAGAGGTTTGAGGGGTTCTATTCGTGGTTGCCCCCAATGTATTAACTTTCCAGTTACCATCCCGAACTGTCAAATGTCTGTCTTCTGTCTAACGGCTGCTGCTTTTGCAAAAGGTTAATAATGGGCGCAGAAGGCTTCTCCTTGGCAATCTGTACCATTTTTGTCTTTTATACCAGATCAAAATTATACCCCAAAATCCAGCCATTTTGCAGCTGAATTTCAGTGGTATGAATTGTGTGGGGGTTTGAAAGCTGTAAATGTCATGCTGCGGGCAGCACATCCTCAGGTCAGAGGAGCAATTACGCAAGGAGCAGCTAGCCGAATGACGCTTTAGTTCCTTGTGGAAAGATAAATACAGCTTCATTCAGTGATAACATTTTTGCACTAGAAGATTGACACAGCCATTTTAGCATATTTGTTTTCAGTGTTTATTATTGATAGTATACCGTACAGGTAGTCCTTGACTTACAACAGTTCAGTTAGTGGCAGTTCAAAGTTATAACGGCACTGAAAAAAAGCGGCTTATGACTGTCTTTCACACTTATAACCGTTACAGCACCCCCATAATCACGTGATTTACATTTGGATGCTTGGCAATTGATTCACGTTTATGACAGTTGCAGTGTCCCACAGTCATGTGATCTCCTTTTGCGACCTCCTGACAAGCAAAGTCAATGGGGAAGCCAGGTTCACTTAACAACCGCGTTACTAATTTAAGAACCACAGTGATTCAACTTAACAAATGTGGCAAGAAAAGTTGTAAAACGGGACAAAACTCGCTTAATGAATTTCCCACTTGGGCTCAGTTGTGGTCATAAGTTGAGGCCTACCCATATTTATATATCACAAAACGGATATGTATTGAAGAGTTTATTTGGCTGGTTATGACTGGTGAGGAGGAACCATCACTGCTGCTCTTGTGTTCTCATACTTCCAATGTTACAGCATAGATATTGATAGGCTCGCCTTGCAGGCAACCTTGGTTGTGTTGGATGCAAATACAGGGGAGCCTGTTTAATAAATGCAAGTTTCTCTTTTGGGGCAAATCCGCAACACCTGTTTCTGGATAGAGCATTGTGAAGGCAGTCTTTTAAAGCAAATATTTTGCGTTCATGCTCGTGTACAGAGCTGGAGAAGAAGCGCGAAGCAGAGCGGCAAGCGAGAGAGGCTCAAGAGAGGGAACTACGTAAGCGGGAGAAGGCTGAAGAGAAAGAACGTCGGAGAAGAGAGTACGATGCCCTTAGAATTGCAAAGCAGAAAATGACAACACAACGAAGAAGAGAAGCGGGTGAAAATCAAAGTAAGAAAATAATGTGCTCGTGTAAGGAAAGTTATTTGAAATAGGGAAGAAATTATCACAACTGAGTTTAATATGCTATCACAGAAAGACTAACAAGGGCACAGCTCAGATATGTCTTTAATAGTCTACAGACAGCTGGAAACCCATGGGGGGAATAAGTCAAAAAATGGCAAAAAAAGAAACAGTCAGCAATCCACATGTCTACTGAGATGTTTTATTTGCCCCGTCTCTTTCTGATGCCAGCTCTCAGAATTGAGAAGTAGATTGTGGTTATATAATTTAGCCATAACAGTAGCCTTTTATTTATTTTTACATCAGCAAGACTAATATGCTAGCCATTAGGGAAAAAATGCCAATTAATTTAATTTATCAAAGCACTCATTCTCTGGGCAGCAGAAGTCTTAAAGTATACAGAAAGATCTTGGCTGGACATGAAGGTTCCCTGAGCTATTTGGGCTGAGTTTAACAACCCTCATATGTTTGCCTTGATAGTATCAGTTAAACAGTCCAATTAATTTACTTGCTATGCTTTGTATTAAATAGCAGAGACGGTTTCACACTGGATGTACTTTAAATTGATGGAGCTAGATCTGAGGCAAAATTAATTTTGCTACTCGTTATGGAATTTATTACTTTTAATTTGGCGGTCAGTTTAATACCACATTCTTGTTCCCATTACTTTTTTTTTTTTTTTAACAGAACCCTCCGTTTCCCACCCGTCACATCCACTGAAAAAGGAACGCTCTTGGTCTAGAATTTTGCTGAAGATGTTTCTGCTCCTCCTGTTAGGTGCCCTGAGCACGCTGGCTGTTTGTAGGGTTACGGAGCTACAGCACCAGCCAGTGTGTGTCACTGTGAACGCGCTGTATGAAGATGCATTAACCTTATTACCAAGTCATGAAATCTTTCGAAATATATTGCAGCCAAACTCACAGCAATAACGCTGTCTAGGTTCTGAAGGACTCTTGCCTCCTGCTTGTTTTTCCTCTCTCTCATTAACATAGCCAGGATTCCTATGGAATAAACTCTGGTGAAAATCACTCTCAGTTGTTTAGCAATGGCGGCTTTAAACATAGCAGAAATGTGGCCCGGATCTTCTTTACTGTATCTTTTTTGCAGTTCTTTTTGATAAACAACATTTTCTTCCTCCACAGTGGAGCCTTTTTTAGGCTGCAAACCATAGACTTCTGGTCTGTAGAAAAAAACGGCTTATCGAGTGAAGCTAGCTTGTCATTATAAAAAGCTTTATTATGCACAGCCTTTGTATATTACCATTCTAACAAAGATGCTCATTCTGGGAACCATTATACTAGATGGCTAAAATCATCCATACAGTTGAGAGGAAAGTTTATTGTTACATAAAGACTCCTTCAAATCCAGTTTGACTCCTGGTGACTTTATGAACTGCATGAGCATAATTTGCCAGTGCCTTCTTTCAAAATGTGTTTCCGCTTTTTGCTATAGCTGCAGCCTTAATATTCTCTAGAGCAGAGTCCCCAACCTTTTGGGCACCAGGAACCAGTTCCATG